ATTTTTGATTTATTGTAGAGATGAGGTCTCGCCAAGTTGCCAGGTGGGTCTCGAACCTGCGGGCTCAGGCAGTTCACTCACCTCAGCCTCCCAAAGTGCTGGGATTACAGGCTGGGCCACTGAGCCCGGCTCAAATACCTACCTTTTAAAGAAAAAAAGAGTCTTCTGATGTGTATCTTAGCAATCCACCAACCCCCAGAATGTTGCTTTTTGGAGTCTTCTTTTCAACAGTTTGGAGCTGTTCTTCTGCGGTCAAACAGACATAACAGAAAATATACAAGATGGTGCACAGTTCAGGGGCATTAAGTACACTAACATTGTTTTGCGACCATCGCCACCGTCCAGCTTCAGAACTCTTGTCAACCTGCAGGCCTGAAATTCCATCCCATTTGCAGTCCTTTTGAACCTGACTTCTTTCACTGAACATAATGTCTTCAAGGTCTGTCTGTGTTGTAGCTTATTTCACAACCACATTGTTTTTTTTGGAGTCGAGGTCTCACTCTGTTGCCCAGGCTATAATGCAGTGGCACCATCATGGCTCACCCCAGCCACGAATTCCTGGGCTCAGGTAATTATTCCACCTCAGCCTCCCAAGTAGCTGAGACTACAGCTGTGCACTACTACACCCAGCTAATTTTTTTTATTTTTATCTTATTGTAGAGATGAGGTCTCGCCGTGTTGCCCAGGATGGTCTCGAACTCCTGGGCTCAAGCAGTCCTCCCACCTTGGCTTCCCAAAGTGCTGGGATTACAGGCGTGAGCCACCACAGCTGGCCTTCATTCCTTTTTATGGGTGAATAATACTCCTTTGTATGGAGATACCACAGTTTGTTTATTCATTCATTCATCAGTGGACACGTGGGTTGCTTTCATTATTTGGCAGTAGTGAATAACGCTGCTGTGAACATGAGTGTACACATATGTGTTCAAGTTCCTGCATTCCATTTTGGGTATAGACCCAGAAGTGAAATTGCTGGATTATATGGTAATTCTCTGCTTAATTTCTTGAGGAACTACCATACTGTCTTCCCTGGTGGCTGCACCATTTCTATGCCCATCAACAATATGTGACGGTTCCAGTTTCTTCACATCCTCACTGACACTTGCTGTTTTGTGTTTTCTGGCATTTATTTAGAGACAGGGTCTGTCACTATTACCCAGACTGGAGTGCAGTGGCACGGTTGTAGCTCACCACGGCCTCAAACTTCTGGGCTCAGGCAATCCTCTCCCCTCAGCCTCCTGAGTAGCAGGGACTGCTGGGTGTGCACCATCACACCCAGCTAAATTTGGTTTTTTTTTAGAGAAATCTTGCTGTGTTGCCCATGCTGGTTTCGAACTCCGATCTCAAGGATCTTCTCTCCTTAGCCTCCCAAAGTGCTGTGCTGGGATTACAGGCATGAGCCACTGCCCCCAGACTATTGTCTGGCTTTTAGTAATAGTCATCCTAATAATGGGGGTGATGTTTTGATTTGCATTTCCCTGATAATTAGCAATGTTGAGCATCTTTTCATGTGCCTGTTGGCCATCTATAAAGTGTGTTTTCTGTGGAGAAATGTCTATTCAATCAGAACTGTTCTTGATGTTCATTTTAACCTAAGAGTATATGATATGGTGGGTTTCGGTAAGCAGGGTGGTGGCTTGCCTGCAGGATTCAGGATTCAACTCAATTCTTTATAGGCTAGTTCTGGGTTCCCAACTAGAGACAGCTAAGCTGTCACCAGAATTTTTATCTGACTCATAATATTTACTAACTTTATATAATTTGAGACAAAGAAGGCTTTGTTTTGACAAGAGTCTGGTTTGCTAAGAATTGTGTGATCATCGTTTGAGCAGTGTGGCTCCATTGGGGTGGGTGGGACACGTTTCTTCCACCTCCTACATACTTCTCCAGCAGCAAGGAGGGAAAGAGGCTCTGAGGCATCTTGCTTTTGCTAGTAGCGCAGAGGCCCCGTGGAATCGGCAGCTCAGCTATTATTTGGACTTTGGGACTGCAAAGGACATGTATATTAGTTTGCTGCTGGTGCTGTAACAACCACAAACTGGGTGGCCTAAAACAACATAAGTGAATTCTCTCCCTTGTCTGGAGGCTAGAAGTCAGAAATCCAGATGTCTTAAGCTCTGCCCTCTCCAGAGGAAGGAAGGATCCTTCCTGTCTTTTCCAGTGTCTGGGGCCTCCAGGCATCCCACGGCTTACGGCAGCATCATCTCTGCCTTTGCCTCCACGTGGCTTCCTCCTCTTCTCATGTTTCTCCCCCATAATATGTCTGTTGTAAGAACACTTGTCATTGGGTTTAGAACCCCCCAGAATAATCTTCCTGTCTTGAGAACCTTAACTTCATGACTTCTACAGAGATCCTTTGGTCCTTGTAAGGCACGTTCACAGGTTCCAGGTATTAGGACGTAGACAGATCTTTTGGGGGACTGCTATTCACCCCACTACAATTATCCAGAGCTGTCTTCACGTGACCCTAGTGTTTCTCTCGAACCCTGTGCCGCTTCATTGGCAGAGAGCACTACTGGCCCCTCCCCTTCCCCTGGCCTCTTCCCTCAGAGCCTCTTGTGGTCCATTTCTTCTCCTGCTTCTTAGACAAAGCTGAAGGCTGTGAGAGTGATTAAATTGAATGTTCAGCTCGAACTGTGTTAAGAACGGAGTAAGGTGTTTTGGGTCAGTCATGCTATTCCTTGAAGGGGGCGGGAGGAAGAAATTGTCCTTTCTACCCGGGTTTGCTGTGAGTCTCTATCTTATCCTTACTTCACAGCCCTTCCCTGAACTACTGCCCCACATGTACTTTACATGACAAATCCTTGGTTGTATATTCATGAGCAGGCATCTGGTTGTGGAGACAACTCTGGGAGTTAGCCTTCCCGAAGTTGGGCAGGACCTGGGACCTGGGAGCCATTTCCAAGGTAGTCAGGAGGGCCCCTGCCTGTTAGAGCTTACATGCATGGTGGCTGGGGAGGCATGAGGGATTCCAAAGAAGGCCCTACAGGAGGCAGGTAAGGAAGAATCCCACAGAGAAAGGGAGTCATATTGCAATGATAATAACATTGGCTTCCTTTAGTGGGGTGTTAACAGGTACTTGGTTCAATCCTCTTTTTTAAACTTTGTATTATTATTATTATTATCATTACTATTATTATTATTTTGAGTTGAGGTCTCGCTCTGTCACCCAGGCTGGAGTGCAGTGTGGCACGATCACAGCTCACTGCTGCCTCGACCTCCTGGGCTCAAGCAATCCTTGCGCCTCAGCCTGCCGAGTAGCTGGGACAACAAGCACACGCCACCAAATTAGCATGGCTAGTTTTTTTTATTTTTAGTAGAGATGAGGTCTCAGTATGTTGCCTAGGCTGGTCTCGAACTCCTGGCCTCCTGCCTCAGCCTTCCAAAGTGCTAGGATTACAGGCATGAATCACCACGCCCAGCCTCCAGTCTTCATAATGACTACATGAGGCCATTCATTTCACAGACGAGGAAATGGCCCCTTAAGCAAAAAGGGCCTCCCCCGAGGGCTCCCTGCTGGTAAGGAGTGGAGTTGGGTTCATAACCCAGGCAGCAAGCTCTGGGCTCATTAATTTATTGCCAACTTCATTAGAGAGTGGTGTGATTTGTGATTTTCGTGGGTGATGAGAGTGATCCGAGACTTGCAAGAGCAGAGCCCTCTTGGGCTGGGCTTGCTTAGCCTAGGGTCCCGCCATTGCCTCGGGCACACACCCCTCAGGCACCCTGCCAGCAGACGTCCATAGGCCTTGGGAGGATTAGAGGCCAGGTGTGGAGTCTGCTCTCCCGTGCATGCCGTCCACCCTCTCATTTGCTTGTGTTTCCCAGAGCATCTGGGGAAGTTGAGTAAGAACCCAGTGGTTGGTGTTTATGATTGTAGCATCACCAGACAGGTAAAGCCACATGCCCCAGCGAAGCCCCTGCCCCTGAGGTGAGTACTTGTGTACCCTGGAGGGTGGTGGGGGCTCTGGTGGCCGTGAGACCAGCGATAGGGATACCCACTTTCAGCTGGGTACTGTGCTTCGTGCCGAGATGCACCCATGAACAAGGCCTTGCTCTCCACCTCCTTCTGTCCTGATCCACGTGGAGCCACATGGGTCAATCTCAGCCACACCTGTTTAGGTGACAGGGCCCCTGCCAATGTGAAGAGGGTTGTGGGATAAAGGGACAGGCACACAGCTACAGGTTGACTTGGCTTATTTGTTCTATGCATTCCAGAAAGGCCATGGCAAATCAGCTTGAGAAAGATATTTTCCTGATAACTTTCATTATGACTTCAGAAAAATGCTTCTCCAACATGGCCCACCTGACACTGAGGGTCCTAACATCCATTCCTGGCCATTTGGGCCCTCGGCATGCCCGGAAAGTCAGGCCCCACCGGGGACACATGATTGTGCCCATTGGCTAAAAGTGACAAGGAATATAAAACTCAAAGTACGGAACTGGACTGGAGCGATCAGACATTGAGACCCCGCCCTGCCTGCCTGCCACCTCGTCACCAAAGCATTCTCTGAATCTAGCCTTTCTGAGCAAAGTTAGACTCTTGTCATAGGTTTGTCATCTCCAGATGTTAGGGGATCTGTGACTAAGTGAATTGGCCAGTGCCAGGAAATCAGAGATGCAAGACCAAATGCACTGTCGTCTAATGGCTTCTTTGTATTTGCAGTTTAGTGTTGTGGGGGATTGAAGAGAGGTACACTCCTCTGTTGGGGGACGTCAGGGGACTTGGTCGCTACGGTTTCCTGGTTGGAAACTGCTGGGTCCCCACCATACTCTGACACTTCTTGAGGGTTTCTGATGGCCCAGACACTCTGGTTCTTCCAAGCACAGTCAGGGTAGCTTTAACTTAGCCAGGCAGGAGAGCTCCAGCCTCTATGCAGCTCTGCCCATTCCCCACCCGAAGCACCACATGCCCTGATGTCTCTTACAGGAGTCCTCAAGCCCATTTCATTGATGGGGAAACTGAGCTGTAACATGGAGAAGCGACCGCAGCAGATCCACACAGTTCATGACAGGGCCATGGCTGGAATCTAGGACTCCCTAGGCCAGTCCACGGTCTGGTGAGCCCCACAAGAGAAACTGAGGATAATTGGAGACCATGAGTGCCATGGGAAAAGCTACAATGAGAAAAATGTTCTTTGCGTTGTAGCTGATGAGGGACGTGGTTTAACTGGCTTCCCGTGCAACCTGCAGTCTGAGTGCCTGCTGCATCGTGGGCCCGGTCATGCCTTTGTCACAGGAGTATTCGCCGGGTACTTCCTTGAACTGCTGGAACAGTGGTCAGCTATTTGTAAAAATGCAATAGGGGATGGCATCCACCCAAAACACGAGCCACTAAGCATGTTTTGATTTATGCAACACTGACATCTGCCTCTAAATATGTCTTGCAGGAAAGAAAAGCTAATTACAGGCAGAACGATAATTTGCGTCAAAATGGAACAAACAGTTGGCAAGCCACTGAGAGACCAGGGTGCATGGACACATTTGACAGAGGACATTCCCAGTGTGAGTACTGACATAGAGAAGGTTGACACAGACATGCAAACAAGCTGTTGATATTTACTTGTGGGCTAAAAGTTGTATTTGTTCATTTATTAAATCAGTCAATGTTGGGTATTGTTTTTTATATAAGATATGTAGCTTTATTTAAGATATGTCAGCTACTTATTGCTATGTGACACACAGCATCAGATTGCAGTCGCTTAAAAGAACAACCGTGTCTTTGCTTACATCTCTGTGGTTTGGGTTGGACCTAGCTGGGGGCCCCCTAAGGTGTATGTCCCCTGGTGGCCTCACTCACACATCTGGTAGCAACTGTCTGCTGTTGGCTGGGCACCTCAGTTTGCCTTCCTGTGCCCTCTAGTGGACTCACCTGGGCTTCCTGGTAGGATGGCAGAAGCTTTCCCAGCGGGCAGCAGCAGCGGTCACAAGGCCTCCTGAGGCCCAGCAGCACAAGTCTCAGAAGGGAATCAAAGAGCCCTGTCGTCATCAGGCGTCCTGGAGACTCTTCATATATGTCTTCAAAGGCTTTGGTTTCATGCATTCATTTTTTTCTTTTTTTTGAGTCGAGGTCTCACTCTGTCACCCAGACTGGAGAATACAGTGACACAGTCATGGCTCACCACAGCCTCAACCTCCTAGGCTCACACGATCTTCCCACAGAACTGGGAGTGTAGGCGTGCATCACCAGGCCTGGCTAATTTTTTTTTTTTCTTGTAGAGAAAGGGCCTTACTGTGTTGCCCAAGCTGGTCTTGAACGCCTGGGCTCAAGCAGTCCCAAAGCCTCCCAAAGTGCTGGAACTACAGACATAAGTTACCACACCCAGCCTGGTTTCATTTATTCTTTTTTTTTAATTTTATTATTTTTATTTTAAAGATGTGGGGTACAATTCAGGGTTAGGTATACAAATGTTCATTATGCAGGTACCCCTGTTGACAAGGTGTGCCCCCCTCCCCTGGCAGTTTCCCACTATTGCCAATCCTTTTCCCCTTTTTTTTTCTTTCTGAGTCAGAGTCTCACTCCGTCGTCCAAGCTGCAGTGCAGTGGCACACTCACGACCACCCCAGCATCGACCTGCTGGGCTCCAGCAATCCTTCCCTCCACCTCAGTCTTCCAAGTAGCCAGAACTACAGGCGTGTACTACCACACCCAGCTAATTTTTGATTTTTTTATTGTAGAGACAAGGTCTCACCAAGTTGCTGGGGCTGGTCTCGAACTCACAGGCTCAGGCAGTCCACTTGCCTCAGCCTCCCAAAGTGCTAGAATTATAGGCTAAGTCACTAAGCCTGGCCGCCAATCCCTTTCTTAGAATAGTATTATGACAGTTGTTCCAGGTCTGCTTATGAGTGAGAACATATGGAACTCTGTTCTTTGTTTCTGTGATAGATCACTGAGTATGATCGACTCTAAATCCATCCAAGTTGCTGTGAAGTCCATATGTTCGTCCTTCTTGATGGCTGCATAATATTCCATGGTGTATATGTACCACATCTTTTTTTAATCCAGTCCAGCTTCGATGGGTAGCATGGTTGGGTCCCTGTTTTTGCTATTGTGAATAGAGCTGCAACAAGCATGCGTGTGCAGGTATCTTATTGGTAGAATGACACAACACTTCAAAAATGTCATCATGAGGGAAAACGTCTTTATATCAAATGTTAATAAATGTAAGATCCCCAAGAGGTTCCCATGGGCTGCCAGACTAGCATGTTTTTGGTGTGGAACTCAGAGTAAAGGTGCCTCTGGATCAGTGTACAGGCTGAACCACTTGCCATCTGCAGTTTCCTATCTGTGTCAACTAGAGCTTTATTGCTGCCTGGCAGTCAGAAAACAAGTCTAGATTTAGCAGTTCTACCAAACGGCCACTGTCATCTAATTCCAAAAGTGTTCTTCAAAATAGCTTTTTTCTCATTGATTAACTTTATAGGAAACAAAAGTTCTACATTTAAGCTACTAAGATAAAAGGAGTGCTTTTGGCTTAACTTACATATACACAGCAAACAAGAAGAGCCAGGCATGGTAGCATGTACCTGTCTTCCCAGCTACCCAGGAGGCTGAGGCAGGAGGACTGTGTGAGCCCAGGAGTTCAACACCGGCTTGGGTAACATAGTGATGCCTTGTCTCTATTTGATAAAAAAAGAAACCTGATAGTGTGTGCCTGTAGTCCCAGCTACCCAGGAGGCCAAGGCCAGAGAATCACTTGAGGGCAGGAGTCCAAGACCAGTCTGGGCAACATAACAAGACCCCCATCTATACAAAAATAAAAATAGAAATTAGCTGGGTGTGGTGGCATGTGCCTATACTTCTAGCTACTAGGGAGGCTAAGGTGGAAGGATTGCTTGAGCCCAGGAGGTCGAGGCTTCAGTGAGCTACGATCATGCCACTGCACTCCAGCCTGAGTAACAGTGTGTGACAAAAAAAAAAAAAAAAAGATTTAAAAAACCCCAGTGGCCTAGACCACTCATTTATCTCAAGATTATATTGTAATTAAATTAGTTTGTCTAGATGGCTTCCTTTCCTATTCTTAACACTGTCTCTAAGACATCAATTTTATAACTCCCTCAGTAACACATTTTTGGTTTTGCTACCTGTTTCTAGTCTAGAATTTTATTCTTCACTGTTAATATATATTCTTCCTTGTCTGCTGTGTCCATGAAAGGTAAATGAGTGTGTCACGTGCCCTCTAGCCATATAGCATTATACATGTGATCAAAAACACCATCCCGTCACACTTGACTTCTTGAGGGTAAAGGCACCAATACTGCGTGGGATGAATAGGTCTGCAAAACTCTACAGAACAGCCATTGGCCTCCTAATCCCAAGCAATATTGGTGCAACATTTCTTTTTTTTTTTTTGGTTGGAGTCTCACTCCGTCACCCAAGCTGGAGTGCAGTGGCACGCTCACGGCCATCCCAGTGTCGACCTGCTGGGCTCAGGTGATCCTTCTGCCTCAGCCTTCCAAGTAGCTGGAACTATAGATGCGTGCACTATCATGCCTGGCTGATTTTTTAATTTATTATAGAGATGAGGTCTCGCTAAGTTGCTTAGGCTGTTCTCGAACCTGTGGGCTCAGGCAGTCCCCTCACCTCGGCCTCCCAAAGTGCTGGGATTACAGGCTTTTGCCTTCGTGCCCGACCTGGTGCAACATTTCGATATAATAAAATAATTCAGCCAGGCACGGTGGCTCATGCCTGTAATCCCAGGACTTTGGGAAGCCAAGGTGGGAGGATCACTTGAGACCAGAAGTTCAAGACCAGCCTGGGCAACATAGTGAGACCCCTATCTCTTAAAAAATAAAGAATCCATGTTACCCCATCCAAGAGTAGAATACTGGTTAGTCATTTTTTTAAATGGGCTCTTGCTCTGTCACTCAGGCTGAAGTGCAATGATGTGATCCTAGCTCATTGTAGACTTGACCTCCTGGGCTCAAGCATTCCTCTCGCCTCAGCCTCCTGAGTAGCTGGGACTATGGGCATGGGCCACCACACTAGGCTCATTTTTTAAGTTTTTTGAAGAGACAGTGTCTCATTATGTTGCCCAGGCTGGTCTCAAACCCCTGCCTCAGGTGATCCTCCCAGTTCAGCCTCCCAAAGTGCTGGGATTACAGATGTGAACCTCTGTGCCTGACTCATTAGTCACATTTAAAATCATGAAATGAAATTGTACTGGACATAATAGCAAGGTCATTTTTAAAAATAGACTATCCTCCTTTTGAAACGCCTATAAGTAGAGATGCCAGATAATGTCAATGAAGCAAGCTGAAATCCTCTAGGATGCTATCAACACAGGTGTAGTTCTGCCCATCTTTGGGCTCCGCTAAACTTTTAGTAAACTGAGAAAACCCAGGCTGGGAATTTGGGAGCTCAGAGTTGTTGTACATCACTGCCGTTTCCTGTACAGCTTCCTGGGGACAAAGGGCAAAGAAAGAGTTTGCCAGAAAGGGGATTGATGGGAGTTGTGAATTTTATTTTGCTATGACCTGAGGAAATAGAAATTTTAGTCAAGGTGCAAATTATTTAGCCAGATAGATGACACATACATAGGAATAATCAGAATCAAGCATAGGAAAAAATTGGTTGTGAAGTTAGTCTGGGGTAGGGCAAGAATGATGAAGCCAATTATGTTAGTAAATTATGCATGAACAAATAATGCTCAGGTTACAGCACCACGTCACGTGGGACACCTGGATTGGGAGGGAGGATCTGGAGAAGGTACCTGGCCTTGGCATCCCTTGCATGTCTCACAGCTCAACCGGGTCGATGTTTATGGAATAAGTAGGGGGGTTGGTTGGTTTTTTTTAATCAGGAACAATATTTAAGAGCTTTTTTCCCCACACACCCAACTTTGACTTGCTATGCATGAGCTAGGGAAATTAGGGGCATGTCATCTTAAGGAAACCCAGACAGAGCTTCAGAAAGACCCCAGGAAAGAGGGATGCCATGGGTCCTTCTCTGAGGAGACTCAGAGCCACAGTTTTGCATTGACATCCTGGCATTAGACTATTTTAGCGCCTGCACGCGGTTCTCTATCCTTTCACTCTCTCCAGTGACCAGAGTTGGAATTACCAGAGAAATGGTGCACATTGTGGAGGCTGAAGTATAAACGCCGTAGCTCTCCCCTGATTCCCAACTTCCTGGGAGTTCCAAGAACTGAGAGCAGAGCCCTGGTCCTGGGGGGGGGAGCAGCTTATCCCTTCACTGTGGCCCCACCCGGAGACCCCATCAAGGCGAGAAGGAGTTGGGTGACAAGCCCAAAGCTACACAGTCCAGTCCCATTGTGGTCAGCAAAGAAAAGGGACTGACTTTGTCCTGCAAGTATGGAGACTGTTCGCCTCTTTCTGGTGTTTTAAGTATAAACTATCGAATGGCTGGCTTTTTTTTGTTGTTTTTTGTTTTTTTGTTTTTGTTGTTGTTGTTTTTTCGTTTTTGTTTTGTTTTTTGATCGTAGAGAAGTGCCTAGGACTCAGATATCGGGAGCAAGAAGGTATTACTTTTTTTTTTAAGATTGTCCAGTTTTGATCATAGGTGGTTTAATTTCCTTTGATTAAATACAAAGCATGGATCTTGTCATCAAATCCAGCCAAAGTCTATCTCAGTATCATTTACTATCTCTCTTCCCTGCTCACGGATCCCAGGAGAGAAAGTGGCCCTAGTGATAGAACACCGGAACTATAGAGAGCTTCCAACTTGGCTCAGGACAAGTCACAAACAAACAAGTACATTGGCCATGACAGTGGCTCACGATATGTAAGCCTAGGCTCTTTGTCACGACCAGTTCTCACCGCACAAGTGTCTTTCGCAGGCCAAGAGGTGCACAGTGATCGGCGGTTCCGGGTTCCTGGGGCAACACATGGTGGAGCAGTTGCTGGCAAGAGGATACGCCGTCAACGTCTTCGATATCCGGCAAGGGTTTGATAATCCCCGGGTGCAGTTCTTTCTGGGTGACCTCTGCAGCCAACAGGTAATGGGCCATGCAGCCTTGCTGATTTCCCACAGCCCCTCCCAAGGGAAACCGGGACTCTTATTGCTTAGAGGCCAGCCAAACTGTCGTCTGAAAAAAGTGTTTGACTTTGAAAAATGTTAAAGTGATAGGAAAGAATTTAGCACATGCCACAGTCTTACTACTCAGAATGAAGACCTGTGGTGTCTGTCGCAGCGACTCAACTCTGCTGTGGTATCAGAAAAGCAGCCACGGTCAGGGCTTCAATGAACGAACCTGGCTGTGTGCCGAACTTGACCATGAAAGCTGTCTGTGGGCAGTTGTGTGCCAACTGCTGCCACAGGGTACACACCCAGAGGGGGTTGATTTTTTAATTGAGATATGATTCTTATGCCATAAATTTTACATTTTGAACATGTACAATTCAGTGGCTTTTAGTACATCCACCATGCTGTGCAACCATCTTCCACTGTCTAATTCCAGAATATTTTCATCACCCCAAAAGGAAATCCCATTCACTCCTTGTTCCCTCTCCTCCTCCCCTCCCAGCCCCCAGCACCCACTGATCTGCTTTCTGTCTTTGTGAATTGCCCCCTTCTGGACATGTCATAGCAATGGAATCCCACAATATTTGTGCTCTGTGCCTGACTGCACCTAGCGTGCTATTTTCCAGCTTTGTCAGTGTATAAGGGTGAGAATCTCTTGGATCATATTCGATGTTGCCAGTTGACTGGACAGAGCTGCTGTGTCCATTTTCCATTCACGTCAGGAGTGTGGCAGAACCCCCCTTGCCAACATTGGGCATAATGAGACTATCTGGTATTGCCATTCTGAAGAATGAAATGGGACCTTGGTGATGTTCCAAGTCTCATGTCCTCACTGATCAGGAAATGGCCACCGTGCCCTTTGCTGATCGACATTCAGGTTTCCTCCTGCATGGACCACATCTGTGTCCTTTGCTTGTCTTTGGGGTTCCCTTGTTTTCCTTACTAATTGATTTGGGAGGCCAGTGCTTTGTTGTCGTACACATGGCAGATGGCTTCCCTCAGCCTGTCACTGGGCTCCACTCCATTCTTGGCTTCAGTGTCATTACCATACTGTTTGTTTGTTTGTTTGTTTGTTTTAGTTAGAAGGCCATTACTTCCCTTCAAAGTCTTGGCTGTTTTCTCCCCCAGGCTGTTGACACCTCTGGGCCTGGAGGTGGGGTAGCCGTCTTCCTTGCTAGACATAGCCACCTCCAGATTGTTCTCCCTCATTTGCCCTAGGCCCCCTCCAACTTTGGAGGTGACACCATCAGACTATGCAGTCTCCGACACCCTTCCTTGTGGCAGCCATCTATAGCCACCTGCCCCCCTTCCCAAGCTTTTCTGCTTCATTCCTTAGTGTTTTCAGCTTCTAGCTGATATGAGCTTGTCACCAACATGGCTGGTATTATTGTTGGTGAATTCGGGGTTCACATAGATGACCCTGCCATACCCTCGCCACTCTTAATTTGGCCTCCTTTCACCCAACGATCTAGTCCTCTATACCGCTGTCATTCCCTAGACCTGAACTTGGTCGTCACCAGTAAGTGTGCTTTCTCCTGCATCTCAGTCGCACTCTGGGCACCACCTCCTCTTTCCAGCTCACACTCTGTGCCTCAGCGGTCCCGGCCTCCAACTCCACCCAGACACCCAGCCGTGCCTACTGTCTCTTACCCCATCTGTGCCTCACTGCCTTTGCGTTCGTGGCCCACACGTTCTCGTGCATGGTCTCCCCTTCCCCCTTCTCTTGAGGTTGTGTGTGTCAGCAAGGCTTCTCCAGAGAACCTGCCAGTAGGGGATGTGTGGAGAGGGGGAGGGAGAACAAGAGAGATTGAGCTTGCATTCAAGGAACCGATTAGTGTGATTGTAGGATCTGGCTAGACAGGTCTGAAATGTGTAGGACGGACCACAAATTCAGGCAGGAGTTGCCTCTGCAGTCCTGAGTTTGAATTTCTTTTTACAGAAACCCCAGTTTTACTCTTAAGCCTTCTCGACTGATTATATTCAGCCCATCCAGACTGTCAGGGAGAGTCTCCTTATGTAAAGTCGGCTGGTTGTGGATACCAACCACAGCTACAAAACACCCCAACTGTACCTGGACTAGTGTTTGATGGGATCAGTGGGGACTAGAGCCTGGCCAGGTGACACATCACTTTGTACTTTGCACTGGAATCCCAGCCTCAGTTACATCCTGTCATTTTCATAGCCACGAACCTTGAGCAGCCCCTTGGTCCTGCCCAGCACCATCTCCACAGACCTGCCTGTGTCCGAGTCTACATTTGGCCTCCTCTGCAGTTCCTGAGGATGCCTGGTCCCCATCAGATGCCCTGCCTGGTGCCAGCTGGAGGCCACTTCCTCTTCCCTACTCCATGATTCCCCTAGGGCCTTTCCTCCTCTCTGTCTGCGAGTCCTTCCTTTTACTGCCTCTTGGAACCACTTGAGTTATGTCTTCACCAGACAGCCCCTGTCGCCACTGCCAGGGAACTTGAGGCGACCATATCCAGTGGTTGAATCTCAGACCTCATCTGACACTTTCTTCACTTGCCTTCTAGAATGCCGCACTCACCTATTTCCCCTGCTGCCTCACTGATCTTCCCTTCTCAGCCTCCTGATCACTTTCATTTCTAAACTTTGCAATGCGCAAACTTTGCATATATGCAGGCTCCAGGGCTTATCATCTGGATCAATTTTCTTCTCTAAGTTAAGTCAATGTCCGGCGAATCCGTCCCATGTCATGGATGAATCACTGTCTAGAAGATGACAAGCTCCCAGCTTGATATCTCTAACACATAGCTCTCTCTCCTGGCCTTAGATCTATCCAGCTGCCTGCTGCCTATCCCTGTTTGGATAGCTAGCAGACATCCCAAACTTGTCGTACCCAAAATGGAGCTCTTGGGTCCCTGCTGCAAGCCCCTACCACGCTACCACAGCAAACATCCTGCCAAAGCCTTCATCTCCGCACATGACCCACTCGGGCTTTCCAGCTGCATCAACCAAAAGCCTTGGACTCATCCCTGATGCCTTTCTCCTCCCCTTCTATTCCATCCATCAGCAAGTCTTGTTGACTCCACTCTGAAAATAGATCCCCAGTTCAGCAACTTCTTGCACCTTCCATTGCTACCCTCTGGGCCAGGATACCATCACTTCTCACCTAGATGTTAGAAGGATTTTTTTTAAACAGAGTGTCACTATCATGCAGGCTACATTGCAGTGGCACAACCATGGCTTACCATAGCCTCAACTTCAGAGGATCCTTCCACCTCAGCCTCCCAAGTAGCTACAGGAGTATGCCATCACACCTGGCTAATTGTTTGATTATTTTTTTCTGTAGAGATGAGTTCTCACTCCATTTTCCAGGCTGATCTCGAACTCCTGAGCTCAAGCAATTCTCCCACCTTGGCCTCCCAAAGTGCTGGAATTATCGGCATGAGCCACCATGCCTGGCCTAGAGGGACCCTTTTAATACATATATCAGAATGCACCACTCCTCTGTATAGAAGCCTCTCATCACATCCAATCCATGTAGAGCAAATGACAAAAGCCTCTATAATCACTCACGAGGCAATGCATGCTATGCCCCCACTACCCCTCCAGTTTCACTTCCTCCCACATGCTGCCCACCAAGTTTCTGCCTTAGGACCTTTGCACTTGCTGCACTTTCTGCCAGAACACTTCCCATGAACCATAGAGTTTGCTCCCTATTTTCGTGTATGTCTCTGACAACCCTATGCCAAGCAACAAAAGAGAAGGAGCAAGTTGCCTTAAGAATTTGCCACACAGATCTGATAAAGGGAGAGAGAGATAAGACAAAGGTGGTAACGATGGATCATGAAGTCTAAGCTAAGCCTAAGGTGATTGTCACTTGGGTGAATGACATAGCAGGGAAGGGCTTTAAAAATATGTCTTCAGGATCTGCCTGGGCAACTTGGCGAGACCTCATCTCTACAATAAATGAAAAAATCAGCTGGGCGTGGTAGCGCGTGCCTGTAATTCCGGCTACTCGGAAGGCTGAGGTGGCAGGATCGCCGGAGCCCAGGAGGTCGAGGCTGCGGTGGCCGGGAGTGGCCACTGCAGTCCAGTCTGGGCGACGGAGTGAGACGCCAACTCAAAAAATTAAAAAATGAAGAATAAAAATATGTCTTCAGGCTGGGTGTGGTGGTGAGCGCCTGTAGTCCCATCCAATTGCGAAACTGAGGGGGAAGAGTTGTTTGAATCTAGGAGTTCAAGACCAGTCTGGGCAACATAGCAAACATTTTCTGTTTTTAAAAAAATGTGAATGTGTTTTTGTAGTCAGTAGTACATAGACAGATAATTAAATACAGTATATTTTATATAACACTTTAAAAATTTGCCCCACCGTCCTCTCAACTGGATTGTTTTTTCTTTGTGGGTTGCCTGACTTCTCCTCTCGTGGCTTTTAGGATTTTCTTTTTTTACCTCTTGTAGTCTATAAGGAATATATCTAGGCTTCAGTTTTAGTTTGGATTTTAAATCCTGCTCAGCAGCTGGTGGGCTTTGTAATCTGAAGACTCATCTCTTTCCCCATTTCTGGAAAATTCTTCAAATAATGACTCTGCCATCATTCTCTTTTTTTCTCTCTTTCTGAGATCTTTCATGTCTCTTAGCCTCTCTTTCTTGCATTCCTTCTCCTTCTGTCTTGCGCTATTTTATAGGAGATTTCCTCTGTTCTGCCACTCATGGTCAATCATGTTTCATCTGTATCCCCTCAGATTATTTTGAAACCAGTGCTAGGCATCATACCATTTTATCTGCAAATATTTCAGCATTTGTCTCTAAAAGATAAGGATCCTTTTATAAAACACAATTCCAGGATCACATCTAAAAACATTGCTAGTCATTCCTTAATATCCAGCCAGCGTTCAAATATCCCTACATGTCTCACAAATATTTTTGTTTTGCTGTTTTTCCAAGTAAGGAACCAAGCAAAGTCAAGACTGCATTTGGTTGAAATGTTTAAGTCTCTTTTAATTTTTGATTTCTTGTATCTTTTTTTCCATTTGAGACAGAATCTTTTTTTTGTTTTTTTTTTTTTTGAGTTGGAGTCTTACTCTGTCGCCCAGACTAGAGTGCAGTGGCACGCTCCTGGCCATCGCAGCCTCGACCTGCTGGGCTCTGGCGATCTTTCCACCTCAGCCTTCCAAGTAGCCGGAACTACAGGCGTGCGCTACCATGCCTGGCTCATTTTTTATTTATTGTAGAGACGAGGTCTCGCCAAGTTGCCCGGGTGGGTCTCGAACCCACAGGCTCAGGCAATCCACTCGCCTCGGCCTCCCAAAGTGCTAGGATTACAGACTGAGCTACCGAGCCCAGCCTGAGACAGAATCTTGCTGTCACCCAGGTAGAGTGCAGTGAAGCAATTGTCACTCACTGCAACCTCAATCACCTGTGCTCAAGTGATCCTTCCACCTCAGCCTCCCAAGTAGCTGGGACTACAGGCACATACCACCACCTCTGGCTAATTTAAAATTCTTGCAATTTCTGACTGTGTTGCCCAGGCTGGTCTTGAACTTCAATCCTTCTACCTCAGCCTCCCAGAGCACTGGAATTACAGGGATGAGCCACTGGGCTCATTCATCTTTTTAAACTATAGTCTATTTATTGGATAACTGATATTTAGTAGAAACCATGTTTATTGTTCTGTAGTATTTCCCATGATCTGGATTTTGCTGATTGCATCTCTGTGATATTGTTTAACATGCCCTTCTAATCCTTTGGTATTTCCTATAAACTGGTAGATGTAGGATTGCACTGTCCTTGTAAGCTAGGAAACATGATTGTCCATGAGGGGTGAAACAGAAGAAAGCTCCTATAAAATAGTACAAGAGAGAAAGAGAAAGAATGCAAGAAAGAGAGGCTAACCAGACAGTAAGGTAGCCGTTAGCCACATGTGGCTATCAAGCACTTAAACATGTGGCAAGTCTGAATTAGAGGCAATTCACTGTAAGTGTAAGATCCACACCAGATTTCAAAGACTGAGTACAGAAAAAAGGAATGCAAATATCTCGTTAATTTATATTGATTACATGTAAATTAATGAGATATTTTAAGATATATTAAATAGAGCATATTAAAGTTAATTTACCTTTTCCTTTTTACTTTTTAAATGTAGTTCCTACAAAATTTAAAGTCATATCTGTGGCTTGTATTATGTTTCTATTGGGCTAAAGATGTGATCTGAATCTGGTTCAGATTTTCCCTCTGGGACATCGTGAATTGGTACCCCAATAGTAATAAGTATAACTGATGGTCAAATTTTGGGTTTCTATATACCTTTCTGTAAAAGGAACTAGGGCCCCTTGGGAAAATGAGCCTAGAACATTTTCTTAGCACAGGACTAATGAGGACATGTCAAAGGGACAGCAGCCAACTTGAAGGACATCCACTGGCCAAATTTGGGACATTTGGAGCCTCAAAAAAGAGAACAGTACTGTATCCATCGGTTCGTAGAAATACTGAAAAACTCTACAGAGGAATGCCAATGAATACATGTAAAAAGTCTGTTAGAATTACGATGTCACCATTTTGCACCCAGCACGTTGATTAGTGTTCCAGGAACATTGCTAAATGCTGAAATCAGTTAGTGGAATTATCACTCTGCAGATCACTTATCAATTGCAGGAGGAAATGAACCTTTCTGTAGCCAGAATCTGGCAGCCTTCACTGTCATGGAGGGATCCAACTTAACATCACCAAGAGTGGGACAAATCTGTGCCTCCCTGGGAAGGACACACCACCACTGATGTGGGATTTTTGCCAAAACTCTTAGGCCTGAATCTCATCGTGAAGAGACAGATTACTCCAAATTGAGGTCCAGTCTATCAAATAACCAATCTGAACCTTTGAAAAATGCAGCATTACAAAACATAAAAAAGAAAACATGGAGAATTGTTCTAAGATTAAAAGAGAGGAAAGAGACATGAGGACTAAATATATGTGGTCCATGACTGGATCTGGACCTAAAAATAAAAATGGCTATAAAAACCATTATTGGGACAATTGGAGAAATCTGAATATAGACTAAATATCAGATAAGAATGTCACATCTGTTGAGTTTCTTGAACGTGATTATTGTTTTTGTAGTTATTTAGGAGAATGTCTTTGTCCTGAGGCGCACCTGGTGAAGAATTTAGAAGCAGTGTGATGTCTGCAACTTATTTTCGAATGGTTTCAGGAAAAAAAATCACAAGTCTATGTGTATGTAGAGAGAGGAAATTGTGGCAAAATGCTTATTGAATGAAGACACACAATTCATGGTTGTCTTTCTTTTGGCGACAACCATGAATCATACGTAGATCCTATTACTCAATTAAGATTTGGCAAAGTGATGGCATGCTCTCATTTCCTCTTCATTTAGTAGCTCAAATCTTTGTACCTTGTGCTGATTAAATGCTTGATTCTTTCCTTTATTTACCAGTTTCAGAAAGAACTTCTCTTCTTACTGGTGAGCAGACTGTCCCTTCTTTGCCCAGTGGGAGCCTCTTTGGGTTGGCCCTTGAGTCCTTTTAACGTGACCCCAGTAATCTTAGCTAGCTTTCTTGCCTTCTGATACGACAAGGTGTGCCCGGTTCATCTTGTGTATTTCCTGTCCCAGATCTGAAATCAGACATTTCTCTCAGGAGCTCTCGTTCCTTTTAGCAGTAAATCAACCAAACCTGTTTCAAAATCCCTTTCAGATTGCTGCATCATGTCTAGTTTCACAGGAAGGAATATGCCTGTGTGTTGCCTATTTACACCGTCTTTAAAGGTGTGGGACTTTTTCAAATGATTCGTCATTTCTATCTGTGAGCTCACCTTCCCTGGGAGTTTTACCCCCCAGGTGCTCTGAACGACGTGGCGGGGTGTTGTCTCTGCATCCCACAGATTTCTCAAGCCCCAAGCCCCTTTCTGTTAGGACTAGTTAGTAGGGAGGGGGCGATTAAAGGGACAACTCGGTTTCTATCCCATGTGCTTTTGTATCATTGAACCCTTCACGAGAATGTGTTTCCATGTTGATTGTAGAATTACTTATAAAAGGACGAGATACCTACAAGCCACAAATGGAAGCGTGAGAACGTGAGAAGCCTGTTGACTTGTCAAGGCGGGAGTGATGATTTTGTCTTGGCTTGCTTTTCCAGGATCTGTACCCAGCACTGAAAGGTGTAAGCACAGTTTTCCACTGTGCATCACCCCCACCATCCAGTAACAACAAGGAACTCTTTTATAGAGTGAATTACATTGGCACCAAGAATGTCATTGAAACTTGCAAAGAGGCTGGGGTTCAGGTAAGGGGAAATCTGGCGTGAATGCTGTCAGGAACGTGCAGTGGCCCTTTGTAAGGGTGTGAGGACCGTGGGTCTTCTTGCAGTCTTCCTGAACCCAGCCAGGGTTGCTCCTTAAAGTGTTGAAAAGAAGTTGGAAATCACTGGGTGTCATGAAAGTCTGCGTGCCAAGGCCAATTTGAGTTGTAATATTCAAACTGCATACAAATAGACCATCGGAGGACTCTAAGGCTCTTAGTCTTTGGTTGTGGAGCTACACAACGTGGGCATTGCTTATTTTTTATTGTGATAAAATATATATTACATAGAAGGTACCATCCTAGCCATTTGTAGGTGTACAGCTCAGTGGCATTAAGCACTGTCTCTATGAATTTGGCTACCCCAGGAACCTCACAGAAGTGGAATCCTTTGGTATTTGTCCTTCTGTGGCTGGCTTCTTTCACTGTTATAATTCCTGGCTCTCAGGAATGCATTTCTAGGACTGATAGAGTTGGGTGGGAACCGAGAAGGGGGCGGGGTCTGGAAAAGGAGAGTGATCTGGGCCTCCCTATGCCCCACCCCAGGACGTTTCCTACTCTGTGGGTTGTTTTCCCACCCAGAAACTTGATTGGCCGCAATTGCAACCATTTGAATCTGTGATGACTCTTATGGTGGCACATGCCACAGGTGCCATGTAAATTAGAGAAAAACCTGAAGTGAGTGGTGGGGGAGTGTTTCTCTCCCAGTAGTCCCCAGCCAGTCCCTGGTGAGTGCCCGACCTCCTCAGCCAGCCTAGCAAAAATAAGCAGGGAAGGGCTCTTCTGGGATCCTGCCTTGCAAATGATCAGTTCTAACCACAGTGACCCTGGCACCTGGCAGCTGACAAGACACTGTGCCCTGCTGCAGTTTTCACCTAATTTGCTCCTCGTTAGGTAGCCAGAGGATCAGTGATGTTCTTTGTTAGTAAATGGACTGGGTAGGAGTCCAGGCTCATCTCTGCACTCCACCTGGGGGTGTAACTAGAGCCCAGGGCTTATAGGCATGAGCCACTGTGCCTGGCTAAGCATGGCATTTCTTAAGTGGTCATGTGTGTTTGCATATGCATGCCCGTGCTCACATGGCAAGGTCAGTATGAGAATAAAGCAGTGGTCTTCTTCAAACAGGCATCTCCCTAGACGTTTGTGGGAGCCTTTTCCTTACAGAAAATCCCTTTTCGTAGGATACACTGAGTCTTGGAAGTCTGTTGTGTCCCTCAGGTGTGATGGGATAGAAAACATGTAAGATCCGCTGTTTTAGAATGTAATATGCTAAAGTGTCTGGAATCCACATAGCTGCATGAGACGGTGATCTCCGGATTACTTTAAGAAGGCAAAGCGAAGGCATGCAAATCATTTGTGCAGTACCTTGAACGTGAGGGTGGCAAAGAGATGCCACTAGATTCTCTTTTCTATGGGATCATCGGACTGTTTGAGTAGAGGAATTCCTGACTTGGATTTTTTTAATCTTTCTCTGCCAGAAACTCATTTTAACCAGCAGTGCCAGTGTCATCTTTGAGGGCGTCGACATCAAGAATGGAACCGAAGACCTCCCCTATGCTACAAAACCCATCGACTACTACACAGAGACCAAGATCCTACAGGAGAGAGTGCGTGGGGCGTGGGTAGCAGAAGGGTGTGAATTCTTTTTTTTTTTTTGAGTTGGAGTCTCACTCTGTCGCCCAGACTGGAGTGCAGTGGCCGCTCCCGGCCACCGAAGCCTCGACCTGCTGGGCTCCGGCGATGCTTCCGCCTCAGCCTTCCGAGTAGCCGGAACTACAGGCGTGCGCTACCACGCCCGGCTGATGTTTTGATTTATTGTAGAGATGAGGTCTCGCCAAGTTGCCCAGGCGGGTCTCGAACCTGCGGGCTCAGGCAATCCACTCACCTCAGCCTCCCAAAGGCGCGGGATTACAGGATGAGCCACCGAGCCCGTCTGGGTGTGAATTCTTAAAGAGAGACAGTCACGAGTTCAGGAAGATAGTATTCTGAGACCTAAGTACCTAACTTGAGATGTCAGATTTGTGAGTGAAATATCAGAATGGCCTGCCGTGGCCAGATACTGTTCTAAGTATTTTCCAGGAGCGGTTTTTGTTTGTTTAAACCTCACAGTTACCCCATCGTCACCAGATTACAGGTGAGGACATTGGTCCACAGAGAGATTCAGAGTCTTCTTGAGGCCGTGCAGCTAGGGGTGGCTGAACCCAGGCCTGCGCCCGCCCTCTGTGCCATGCAAGCATCCTCACTCACTGTGGAAATTGTCAGTCGCAGCACTCCCTCCCCCCACCCCACCCCCATTGGAAAACACAAACCATGGAAGGATCTGGCTTGCTTTGGGGGGAAAGTATTTTCCACTTGGCAAACTGGCTTCATCAAGGTCTTCTATTTGAGTGTGACTGGATTCAGCTGCTGTCTGGGTTGAGTGGTCGCCACTGAGGCTTCAGGCTACCGGGGCTGCAGCACCCCACCACCCCCCACAGTGCCAGTCCCAGGTAGAAGACATCATGCTGAGGCCATCCTAAGCTGCGGGCCAGGGATGCTTAGCTTTCCCTGGGGTTTCAGCAGATAGCACCCCAGAGGCTCCTTGTTCAAAGCCAGCGCCTGAGAGTCAGCTGCCTCCAACTACTTGCTGTCACTTTTGCTCAGAGAGTCCTAGAATAACTGGCCTACAGGAAACATGAGGGCTTCCCCAAGCCAGAGAGTGGAGGCCTGGCCTTTAGCAAGCCAGAGTCCCACCCCACGCTGTGCTGTCCTCCCTGGAGCGCCTGCCTGCTTAGGCTTGGAGGCTAGGAGCACTAAAGCCTTTGCTGGGCCCTGCAGGAAGTTCAGTACTGTGGAGACCATGTGCACTCTCACCCAAGTGCCTGGGACTGCCACCAGGGCTGAGCCCATCTAGGCTCAGAAGCTCTAAGTAACAGCCTCAGCTCCACCCATCAGTCTTTCGCTGGCATCAACTTTTGGGTGCTCAGCTCTAAGTAAGCAGAGCCTGTAGATGACTCAGGTAACTCACCTAAAGCCTCCTCCCAACCACGGTCAACACTGCAGTTGGCTTTCAAACCTTCTTACTCATAATAAACCCGGTATGATGGGGCTTGAGGACTCCTTCCACTGTCTTCCCTTTGGTAGTAGTGACGAGCATTGGTAGAAGTCATTTGAAGGCTGATTTCATTTCCTCCATTGATATGGGGACCAGAGTCCTGGTGGGAAGAGGAGGGGCAGCTCTGGCAATGTGTTGAAAGAGGCAGCTTAAGATTGCTCGGGCAAGGCTGGGCTCAGTGGCTTAGCCTGTAATCCCAGCACTTTGGGAGGCCTAAGCAAGTGGATTGCCTGAGCCCGCAGGTTCGAGGCCAGCCAGGACAACTCCGTGAGATCTCATCTCTACAAGAAGTCAAAAAATAGCCAGGTGTGGTAGCGTGCATTTGTAGTTCCAGTTACCTGGAAGGTTGAGGCAGAAGACTCGCTGGAAGACTTGCTGGAGTCCAGCAGGCCGATGCTGGAGTGGCTGTGAATGTGCCACTGCACTCCAGCCTGGGCGACAGAGTGAGACTCTGACTCAAAAGAACATGAAAAAGAAAGATTGCTCAGGCTAAAACATGGACCAGCATTTTGCCACCATCGAGTAGAAACCCTCGGTGACATGACACAACAGTCACTATGCTTACCAAGTACATGTATACTTCCTTAAGCAACTGACATGACTTGGGCTTGTATAATCAGCATACAGTCCCGTCAGGGTAGGTACCTCTGTGATCCCTATTTTCATCAACAGGATGGCAAATAGAACAAGTTGGGAAGTTATGTTACTTTTGAGGCAAAACTTGTTCCTCTACACCTTATACTCTGAGTTCTAGCTTGTCCATTCAGTCATGCAGAAGACGCCCGTTCCCTCTTCCTGGCACTTGGGACTGGGTGGTGTTCTGAGGACTTCACATGCCTTGGCCTCCTGCGCTTCCCAGCAGCTGCCCAGCCTCTCCCGGGGCATGCTCCTCAGACCCTTCAACTCCTCAGACCCTTCTTCTGGGCCCACTTGGGTTTATCAGAGTCCTTTCCTAAGAAGTGGGGCTTAGAATTGACCACAACAGCCCAGGCCAGGTGGATACTTGTAGTCACATGTAGCTTAAGCCAGGAGCCCTTTTGGTGGTTGCAGCCTCATTGGAGGCTCTTGGCTAACTTGGTAACTACAACCTTCAGATCTTTTCCACAAATTGCTGCCAAGGCATGTCTTCTGACTGCATTTGTATATTTTCAGCCTTTGAACTCAAACCCATGCCTTTCTGTTTGACCTTTCTGATTTTACTCAGCTGTCTCGCCTACATTTTCAGCTTTTGATGGGGGATATGGGGCGGAGAGTTAGCCCAGAATTATACCAGTCACTGATGTGGGTTGTCAGCTCAAGGCAAACTGCTGCCCAGTGGCCTGCACGCCAACAAAGTGTGTTATATGTCTGTCCCCCATGGGAGGTGCTACTCACCCGGTGAGGCGCCATCTTGGCTTGGACCGGTGAGTTTGCCATGGACATGCACCTTCTCCCTCTGTCCTCCAGGCAGTCCTGGGCGCCAATGACCCTGAGAAGAATTTCTTAACCACAGCCATCCGCCCTCATGGTATTTTTGGCCCAAGGGACCCGCAGTTAGTCCCCATCCTCATCGAGGCAGCCAGGAAGGGCAAGATGAAGTTCGTGATTGGGTAAGTCGGCCCACAGTGGCTCTTCCCCACTAGCAATGACTGCTCACATTCAGAGAGCGCTTTGTTGGGGCCAGGCAGCTTTGTAGCTCTTTCTTACATGATTGTATGTCCGTGTGGGCTGCCCCAGCAACATACCTGGGACAGGGTGGTTCATGAACAACAGAAATGCATTGCACGTAGCCCTGGATGCTGGGAAGTCCAAGGTCAAGGCCTTCATAGTTTGGGTGTCTGGTGAGACCCCATTCCTGATAGGTGGCATCTGCCATGTGTCCTTACATGCAGGAGGGGGCCAACAAGCTCCTTTGGGCCTTTCTTACAAGGATACTAATCCCATTCCTGAGGGCAGAGTCCTCATGACCCGGTCATTTCCCCAAGGCTCCACTTTTTACTACTGTTGCAGTAGAGATTGGGTTTCCACACATAAGTGTTACAGGATGTGGGGACACAAGCGTTCAGGCCATAGCTGTGACCTTCTCAACTGTCCCCTGTATTCATTGCTTGCAGCTGTCATAACAGATGACCACAACCTTACTACTTAAAACAACAGAAATGGAGTCACTCGCAGTTGTGGGTGCCAGAAGTCCAAAACCCACGTGTGGCACTCTCTAAGGCCCCGGGGAGGACCCCTGCCTGTGTCTCCCTGGCTGCTGGGGCCTGCTGGCCATCCTTGACAGTCCTTGCCTGTGGACACCTCCCTCCTGTCTCTGCCTCCACCTTTACTTGGCTGTCTTCCTTGGCCTCTGTGTCCAGATCTCCCTCTCCTAAGGACATCAGTCATGGAGTTAAAGCCCACTTTACTCCAATATGACTGCATGGTAATTACATTTGCAAAGATTCTATTTTCAAATGAGGTCACCTTCACAGATTTCTGGATGACATGAGTTTTGGAAAGGCACTATGAAATCAGTACCCCCTCCCAGGGCTAGAGTCTCCCTGTATCTTGGAAGGCAGGTAGGGACATCACATTCCTCCTCAAGGACAAGGTGGAGGGGCCTCTGCAGGTGACAGCAGTGTGACCATCGCCATCATACAGTTTCTCTCCCTCCTCTTCTCCATTTCTTTCCCCTTCTTCTCCCTGTGCCGTACCTTCCTGCTTCTTACTCAGCCTCACTGCCACCCTGGTGTTTCACTCTGAGGGATCACAAAGAGACTGGTCGAAAACAGGCCAGAGCAAGGCATTGGCCCCACATGTCTACCATGTGTCCTGCTCCCTGAGTCAGAGCAGGAGACAGCACCAGTGTTGCCATGCTGGGATGGGGTGGCAGGGCACTGAGCTTTCGGATTCCACTACCACTGCAGGCCTCAGGAGTCCTGAGCCAGTGCACATAGTTAACCAGCATGGGCATCCATGAGTGCCAGGGCTGGCATTGCCAAGGTGGTGGCAGTTCTGCAGGTCACAGCCTCTCAAATGCCGAGACTTGAGAATGGACCAGGGCCCGCGTGCAGGGGCTCTGCTGGGCTTGCAGTTGGGCACTCCCAGCTCCAATTGAGCCGTCCCTTGTGCACCTGCAGAAATGGGCAGAACCTTGTAGACTTCACCTTCGTAGAGAACGTGGTCCATGGACACATCCTGGCTGCAGAGCGGCTCTCCCAGGACACGGCCCTGGGTGGGAAGGTAAGGCCCACCTCATCCCGCCTCTGTGCTTTTGTCAGTCTTTTGGGTTTCTTCTCCCTGCCACTGGGTTGGCTATCAGATTGCCCCCGTGGTGCTGTATCATTGAGAGTTTGCTCTGGGACCCCTGTGCCAAGGTTGAGCCCCTCTCAGAAGGAATATGATGTCCCTCATTGCCGCGTCTCAAAACTTGGGGCCGCTAGACTCAGAGATCCGATGAGCTGAGGTTGAGCAAAGATTCAGGACACAGCCACCCGTGGACCATGGCCTGGCTGTCCATCTGTCGACATGGCTACTCAGGGCATGGTCCCACATAGGTTGGACAGGGTGCTCCCTCCTCACCCTTTCTCCCACTCTCTCCTTGGGTCTCCATTTTTTCCCATAGCTTCTTACCCTCCAGAAGGGTCCAGGAGGGTGATATGCTGAATCTTCTGGCGTTTGGCACCCAGTGGGCAGAGCAAGGCTGGGCTGGAGGCTGTCTCTGCAGTGGTCTGGACATGTGGCATGCAGGGATAGGAGGGCTGCTGGGTCCCACCACTCTTTCCTCCCTCTCCCAGGGCCCCACCCTTGCTGCTAGGTCCTCGTTTATTCCCCGAAACCTCTGCTGGTCTCCCATTCGTGACCTCCAGAGTGGTTGGCAGTGGGGTGGGTGTGGCTTTCAATTTAGAACAGACACGGCAAGTTCAAGAGATACAAGGGGACCCAGTCATTGCATCTGAAGATCAGAAGATAAGTTTTACCGTGATGAGCAATCATTAAATTAACAAAGGTACCTTCCCGAGTGCATCTGTGCTCTAGTTAGAACCCTGGCCCATGGATAAAACTTGAATCACCTTTCCTCCCTGCTCCTCACTGCTGCCCATTTGAACGGTGGAGGGCAGGCCACATGAAACACTGCAGCAGCTTGGCACGTGAGGACACGGCCTGCACAGGCTTAAGGGCCACCTCGCCTTGGAGCTGCCCTGCGGAAGCCCCAGGGCGGGCAAGGAGTGCTGCTTTAACCTCTGGTTCTTACCCCTCCAGGCCTATCATATCACCAATGACGAGCCCATCCCTTTCTGGACGTTCCTGTCTCGCATCTTGACTGGCCTCAATTACGAGGCCCCCAAGTACCACATCCCCTACTGGGTGGCCTACTATCTGGCCCTGTTGCTGGCCCTGCTGGTGACGGTGGTCAGCCCCATCATTCAGCTGCAGCCCACCTTTACCCCCATGCGGGTCGCACTGGCTGGCACATTCCACTACTACAGCTGTGAGAAAGCCAAAAAGGCCATGGGCTACCGGCCGCTGGTGACCTTGGATGACGCCGTGGAGAAGACCGTGCAGAGCTTTCACCACCTGCGCAAGGTCCCATGAGGACCCTGTGATTGGGCTCTCGACACATTCCCCAGCTGAGCACTCACGTGTGGACCAGTGAACTGACACCTTTCAGATGAGTTTCTTCTGAGCTTTGGATTCCTCCTGCTAGTTAGATGGGGGCACACCCTGCCCCTTCCATGACTACAAGGGTAGTGAAAACAGCAGACATTTCCTCCTCCACACAATTGGATTTGAATTTCTTAAAGTAGGCATCTTCATATTTACTGATGTGTTCTTGTTCTCTTTCTCCCTCCTGTCCCCCCTTCTCCCTTTCTCCCTCTCTCTCCTGACTTCCTTATCACAAAGACCACTTTTGAAGTGACCATTTCATTCCAGTGTCCTTGTGCATAATCGAGGAAGCTGTAGGAAGAAACAACGCGATTGCTAGTTGAGATGGAGAATCATTTCCATGCAAACCCATGCTAGAGTGAAGCCACTAGACTGTTCAAGGAACTACATCTTTAAAATATTCAAGAAGAAAAGCAGGTTGTTAGCACATGGTGAGACTTCAGACGTACATTTCTTATCAGCAGTTTAGAGCAAACATTGTAATCTCCCCAGTCGCTGGAATTTTTTAAAAAAGACTGCTGGTTGTTCAACTCCTTACATGTGTCCAAGTTCTCTTTCCTGTTCTGTTGGTGTGTCTGCCTGCATTGTGTCTTTTAGAGACCCAGGCTCGAGTGCAGTTATGCAATCATGGCTTGCTGTAGCCTCTATCTCCTGAGCGCACGTGATCCTCTCACATCAGCCTCCCAAGTAACTGAGACTATAGGAACACACCACCACACCCGGGTGGCACTGTTTCCATAAAGGATTTCGATTTATGGTCGAACTTAGTGGCTCAGTCTGTAATCCCAGCACTTTGGGAGGCTGAGACGAGTGGATACCTGAGCTTGCAGGTTGAGACCCACCGGGGCAACTTGGTGAGACCTCGTCTCTGCAATAAACCAAAAGTTAGCCGGGCGTGGTAGCACGCACCTGTAATTCCAGCTACTTGGAAGGCTGAGGCGGAAGGATCGCCGGAGCCCGGTAGGGTGAGGCTGCGGTGACCAGGAGCATGCCACTGCACTCCAATCTGGGCGACAGAGTGAGACTCCAACTCAAAAAAAAAAAAAGATTTCTCTTTATAAACAGAGTTCTATCATCTTTCATGGCAAGGCAGTAATCCTGCCCATTGACATTCTATTTGAGGTGTTCAGCTCCTCTCCTAACATTGGACATCAGGTGGGTGACAGTAAGCCAGAGAGAAGATAGCCTTCCCAAGATGATGCAGAAAGGGCCAGTTTCCAAAGGGTGATCATTCTTGGTGGAGACTCAAGTGAAGGTATAATATGCACTGGGAAATTTGTGTCTTAGGAATATTAGAATATTACCTCTGGCTGAGCAGAGACTGTGTAAGGCTGATGGGATGGAGTAAGACACAGTCTTGGCCCCCGAGGCACTCAGCATCGCAGAGCTACAACAAGCTCACAAGCTCCTGAAATGCCAGGCAGGAAGTGATACACTTAGGATGCAGGGCTGTTAAGTTCAGAGGAAGGGAGCGTGGCTTCTACAGGGGAGATGACGTGCTGAGATGGACCCTGAAGGATTTCAGACAGAAGAAGCCAGTCTTGCAGTCCATGGTTTGCCATAGTTTAGCAGCATGGGGTGTTTCTAAGCAGTCTATAAAGCTATGGTGTGCCTTGGATTCAGTGGACAGAAGTGGCTGGCCTGGTTTGGGGTGGGAGACAGGCCCGGCCAATGATGCCAAGCCGAGAAGGGTGCACTTTTATCACCTAGGTCCTGGAGGGCAAAAATCAAGAAAACCATTCTGGCTGCCCTCCCTGGAGCTTGGAGCCAATAGGAAGCCATGAAGGCCCAGGCATAGATGGTGCTGTGGAATAGAAATGAGGCCTTGCATGGACCCACCTGGGAAGGAACTCAGTGCCTCCTCTCCCATAGGAAGTGAGGGCAAGGGAAGGTTCCTCTCAAGCCAGGGCACAGCTCCAGAGGCGCCCTTGGAGCTGGGGGCATGGAGTCTTGGGCCAGGTGAGTGAGGCTAGCACGCCTTGCTGATGAGCACCAAGAGCCAAACTGCCCTTGGCTGTGTCCCCACTGCTCGCCCAGGAAAATGCCAGCCACTACCTGGATCCAAGAAGGCCCTCGCCGAAGCTCTGTCTCCTCTCTCGCTTGTTTAACCCTGCCCTGAACCTCAGTGACAAAACCCCCGGCCCCTGCCTGCCTGGAACAGACATCCTAGTGGGGCCACACAACTCCGTACATTATTCAAAACTCCAAGTTTTGATGCCACGGGAGGGATCACGGGGCTGCGAGCACACCTGGCCTAGGTGGAAATCAAGGCAGAACAGTCGCGGAAGTGTGTCTGCTCTCATCCGAAGATGAGCCGGTGTTAATTAGGACGAGGCTGGAGGAGCCTCACACATAGAGAACCTGGGCCCCCAGCGGGCCAAGCTGGTACCCTCCCCACCACTCCTTTTATTTCCTGCATTCCTACCACACACCTATCTCGACCCTCCACCCACTTGGAGAAAGTCCAGCTACCAAGAAACCACAGCCTCAGTACCCACTAAGAGCACGTTAGAAATAGAAACTGTCGGGCCCGCCCCAGACCTACTGAACCGAGACCCAGGGGTTGGGCGAGCACCATGTTCACAAGTCCTGCAGATGGTTCCAGACCAGTGAAGTAGTCTTCCTCCAGGTCACTGAGTTCAGCTGGAACCTCCCCTAACACGGCATCCTGGAGCCTGGAGCCAGGGCCACACCTCTCCCTCATGGCAAGTCCCATCTGGAGGGTCAGGGCCAAGGGAAGGCAGTTGTCTCCCAGCTTGGGGACAGCTGAGAGTCCATTGCCAAGTTCTACATGTCCATTGGGGTGATCTCTCATTTCAATGCCTCTTCTTCCCTGCTGGCGCTGACCTAGTTCAGCACCTGGCCCATCTGCACTTAGGTCAGGTGTCCTGGGACAGCCGATCTGTCTGCTTGCTCTCTCATCCCAACTCCGACCTGGCCTCTACACATCCAGAGTGTCCTGCCGAGGACAGATCTGGGCCCTGCGTCTCCTCTGCTGAAGCCGCTTCAGCGGGTCCCAATTTTCTCCCTGCCCACCTTGCCAGCCTCTTCTGTGGGGCTTCTCGCCTGCTGTGTTCTGCTAAGCTGAGCCACTGTCTCCTGCTCACGTCCTGTCACACGTGTCCTGCTCAGGTTGTCCTGGCTGCTTGCAACGTCTTCTCCCCATGTGTCCCAGGTCCACAATGGCCAGCTCCCTTTCCCGGAAAAGCCTGGCCTGATCCTCCCAGTCAGAACAATGACAACTAAAGAAAACAGCCTGAAGTGGGGAGGAGGACTGCCAACATCACTGGGTTGGACCTGAGGTTCCAGACCCGGCGCTCGGATGTGGACTTGGGAGATCTGTGAACCCAGCAATTGGACGCTGTCTTTGGGGAGTCAGAGTGTGTGTGTTTTGACAGGAGAGGATACATAGCTGTCTTTTCTTTTTAAAAAAAAAATCTTTAGTCTAGCCGGGCTCGGTGGCTCAGCCTGTAATCCCAGCGCTTTGGGAGGCTGAGGTGAGTGGATTGCCTGTTCGAGACCCGCCTGGGCAACTTGGCGAGACCTCATCTCTACAATAAATCAAAAATTAGCTGGGCATGGTAGCGAGTGCCTGTAGTTCCAGCTACTTGGAAGGCTGAGGTGAAAGGATTGTCTGAGCTCAGCAGGTTGACGCTGGGTGGCCGTGAGCATGCCACTGCTCTCCAGCCTGGGCAATAGAGGGAGATTCCAACTCAAATAAATAAAGTATTTAATCTTAAAAAGTTTTCCATAATATTATTAATGCACATTGTTATTTTATACATGTTAGGATAAAGCAAATAAATCTAATGTTAATGCCATTGAAAACCAAGATTCTCGGCATAAAAGAAATACAAACATAAAATCAAAGAAATAAAAATGCAGTGATCTAAATTGAAGTTGAAAATATCAATATGAACTCAAGATCTCTTAAACATTTTTTCTCTAGCTCTACCCACTCAAAAGGCCTCGAAACAATTACCAATATAGTAACTATGAGCACTCCTAGAGAAAAGATTGTGAAATATCAAACTATCACTTCCCATGAAAGATCCTAGGCTCTTTGGAGAAATGGCTGATTCAAGGTCTGGGGCAAAAAAATGTACAAGAGGATACATAGCTTTCACTGGCTTCTCAGAGAAGGTGGGGGGGGAGAGTGGGTAATAAGATGCAGGAGCCAGTGGAGGGGGCCCACAGCTATAAGGAGGGGCCAGGAGATTGGCCAAGGGGCAGAGGCCAGAGCTGGGCTCCCGGCCTAGCGGCATCCCTGTCTACATATTTCCCACGACCCCCATGGAGGCAGGCTCTTTGACAGGACACAGATGGTTGAGGCCTCTGGTGCATATTGTTGCCCACTGACAAGAGCGCTCGCCTTCCCAGCCCCTTGCGGAGCCTTGGCTTGCTGTATAGACAGCCCTGCTGGGAGAAAGTTCTCCCTCTGAACTCACCGCCCTTGGCCCTCACCTTCCCTCCCCCCACCAAACCCCAGCAAGTGCAGCTTAAACAGGTGCTGTTCCCCCCAGCTCCTCCTGGCCCCTCAGCCTGGGAGCACCTGGTCTTGGGAAGCCAGCTGCTCTTCTTCAAACTCCATCCCTAACGACATTTCTTCCTCACAGCTGTCCCCCATGGGTCTCTCTCCGCCAGCTTCCTACAACAGCTGGCCTGCATGGCTGCTAAAGTGCGTCCTTGGTCACACGGTAACCATCAGCTTGGCTGCCCAGATCGAGCTCTAGGAACTACTTCACTCCTCAAGGGCCAGGGGCCCAGTAAGTGTGCCAGGCTGGAAGGGCGTTTACAGGAGAAAGCCACCAGCTCCCACATCGGCCAGCTGGGGGAGCCCCAGAGAAAAGGAGCCATAGCCAAGGGCACCCGAGGGCAGTTGGCAGGGCCAGGGCTGGACCCTTGGCTCTTGATTCCCCAGGCCAGCGCAACCCATGGCACCCATTCATATTCCGGCAACTTGATGTAGCAAAGGTGCCCATGTAGGAGAAAGGCAGTCAGGACACAGGCTCCAACCCGAGGCTCGCTAATGTAAAGGGCTTGGAAAGCACAAATAGAGAGGAACTGTGGAAGACACTAGAAGCTTCTATTCCAGTGTGCACCTCTTCTCCAACACTGTCATTGATCTGGAAGGATGCGATGATGGTGGACCCAAGTGAGAGTCTGATTCTTAGCTTCGGGCCATGGAGGTCTGTTCATATTAGCTCCTTTGACCCAGAGAACTTCTGGAGTGACTTGGGTAGGGGAGAAAAAGGCAAAGGCCTCTCAACCTTTGTCGTGTACCACAGCCTGCTCCCAGAAACCCTTTCGGGATGCCTCCTGTAGCAGGTACAGGGAGACATGCATACCACTGGCTTTGTTCTCTGGGGAGGGGAGGGAACTCCAATTCAGAAGACATTAACTGGGCACCTGCCATATCCAAAGGGATGCAGAAGTAACCAAGATAGAGCCTTTGCTCTCAGGGAGCTCATGGTCCAGAAGAAATGAAATGCAGACATGAATGACCCCAGTGCTCCTTGTCTTAAGAGCAGCAGTCA